TGTGACTTTGCCTGGGGAGCCTTTCATGCCTGCCTTGAATCCTGGCTCACTCTCCAGAAGCCATGATGGTGCTCCTGGGTGTCTGGGTCATGGAGACTCCGGGTTGGATGTCCCTGGAGAGAGGCAAGGCCTGGCCTCCTCTTCTCCCAAATCCAGATTGGCCTTGTGCTGGGCTGTGGGCGGGAGCAGAGGGGAGGAGGAACTGTGCCGGGCGGGGGGGTTCAGGCCCCACGACCGGACCAAAAAAAAAAAGGGGGGGGGGGGGGGGGTGGGAAGGAGAAAAAAGGCGCTGGCCTTGGGCAATGGGACCTTCGTCCTCCAGGTCACTGGCAGGTGGTGCACGTTGGCCATCGTAGCAAACAGATTGCAGAAGATTCAGGAAGACGGCCCCTTTCAAATCCTTGTCCGCTACATCGAGGCTCCTGAAGATGGAAGATCTATGACCGTCCAATTTTATAACAAGTGAGGAAAGCTTCCCTCTTCCACCCCCTCCTTCCCACCCTCAGAAGAGGGAGCCGAGCTCTGCCCTCACATTCGGGTCCAGAATCTTTCACACAACCATGTACATTTTTAGAAAATGCGGTGGTGACTGGTGTCCAGCCAGGAATGGATAGTGTGCACTCTGTGTCACAATCAGCACCTGAACCCTGGTGGATTCAGGTCTTACATGGGCAGCTCAGAAACAGAATGGACCCACACCCTGGGCTTTAGACCGAGGGGGAAACTTTGTGCCTATGGCCTTATGGAGGGCAGTGTCTGGCTTAATCTGGCACACAGTCCACATGTGTGGCAAATGTGTTCCCTGCTTGTAGATCGACACATGGCTTCCTGGAAAGGTACTCTACACCCATACCCTTACCTTGACAGGATGTGCATATTATTATTCATAATGAATACTATTATATAGTTAACAATAATTTTCCTATATATGACAGAATTATATACTAATTATCAAACACTGTCTATAAGATATCATATAATAATTATATAATAGGAGTATTTAATAATAATAATAATAAATTTGAGGTGGTAAGTTATTCAAAGAATCTCCCAGGTTGGTATCCTCTTCTGCTCAACCATTCTGGAACATGTTCCTGGGATGTATGGATTTTTGTGCTGCTATTTTTCAGGCAAACCGGAGTGTGCAAAAAATACACTGTTGTGGGCACGCGGCAGGACGATGGATCATACATAGCACCGTGTGAGTACCATGCGGTGTAGACAGAAGAGGGGACTAGAAGCATGGCCATGCACAGGATCCAGGGTGTGTGTTGCGGGGGGGGGGGAGCTTTTGATCTTCCATCTATGCCTCTGAAGTCTCCAAACTTCCAAGAGTAGAGTCGGAGATCATCTGGGAGAAATAGCTGAGCTTTCCAGGTGATGGCTTCAACCAAGAAAATTCAGGGATTATACAAGTTTGCCTTAAGGTCTTCAGGGTATTTGATTATTCCTTTTCAAATGATCTCAAAGTGGTTTCCCCCTAGATGTCACCATTTATGAAGGCGGTGGACGAACACATTAGGTCTTGCACAATCTCCTCAATTTAGCGGTTGGACACAACTCCTGATCCTTGGGTTTTATCTTCCTTCCTTTATTTTTCATCACAAGCAGTATGTATTTTATTAAAGAATTCATTTGAACACTGTACCCACAGAGGATACAGATGTGAAGGCAGCAGATGGCTAATCACAATTCCTGGTAATAAGCTTTCAGAACATGAATTATTGTCATAGTTTTTGACTCTCTTGAGTAAAAACTCTCTTGTGCACACAAAATGCCATTTGAAAAGGCCATTGATGGAGACAGCGCAGGTAGTTTATCAATAGCTTCAGGAAATTCCCAGGAATTCAATTGAGGGAAAATCCCATCTACTTTGTCAGGTGTTGCTGGCACCTTAGTCTCACTGGACAAAATGATTTAACAACCATATTCTCAACATTGATCGAGACATGCTGTATTCATAAACTGTTTGTTGAACGTCCACCTCTCTGCACAGTTGCTTAGGATCATTAATATGTATGTCCTAAGAAAGTCTGTTGGAGTTTGAAAGACCAATAATCAATTGGAAAGGGGCCTGATGTACTAAAATCTCTGATATCAAAGTCAAAATACCAATAGAAGAGCCAACCTGAACCTACTGAATTGTATCGGTTTCACTTAGGACAAGTGGGAGCACAGATTCCTGTTCATTCATGCTAGGATGGTTTGGAGAGGGTGGAGGATTCAGGCATTGGTCTCTGGGCTGTGTCTGGAGGAGGTGGAATTCTCCACTCAAGACCAGGGTGATTGAACTTCGAGGCAGCAACCAAGATGGATTAGGCGCCAAGTGACTCCCCGGGGGGAGAGGAGGAGAACAGTGTATTCCACAGAGAGCAGGCAACTTGCAATGCGGGCCTAGAATGTGAGTGAGCTGAGGATGACTGCTTTTGTCCTAGACCATGGCCTAAATAAGTTGGAGATTCTGAAGCAAAGCAGACATCTGATCTTCTACAATAAGAACACAGATGAAGAAGGACAGGTCACGTACATCATCCTGGTGGCAGGTGAGCACCCAGGGACGTCAGCCCACAGAGGGCTGGGGACTGAGCCTGGAGGGGGAAGCGCGGCCACTGCCCACATCCACTGGGGGGAATCATCGCCAAGCCCTGAGCTGCGGAGTGGAGGAGACAGAATGGTCTATTCCAAAAGACCTAGCTCTGTCGCACACTTGTTTATTCTACCGATTCCTAGAGAATCTCCCAGCAGCGGCCTGTCTCATTCCCACACTTCCAAGGGGCTTGTAGTGTAGGAACCCAAGGGGCAAATCCTCATTCAATTTGGTGGTGGAGTGAGCTCCTTTCCTTCCTGACCCCTCCTACCACATTCTCAAAGCATCCAAACAAATGTCACTTGCCTGGTAGAGCAACTCGTGTTGAGCTTCTGAGATGAAATGCTGTCAAACTCGACAATCATGAGCTCCAAAGAACCAGAAACAGCCCCCGAGGAAACATGCTAGCCTTGAACCCCAAAAGCTCAGGGACAGGCCCCAGGCCTCTAGTTCAGTCTCCAGGACTGGCACCAAAATAACCAAAAACAAACCAAACACGTAAATAAGCCCAGACAACACATCACACTAGAGACCCCATCTTCATTGCGGGAGCCTGTCGGCATGGGCATAGCCAATCTCTGGCCCAATGGTTCTCAGAGGAAGCCATTGTCATGTAGGCCGCCTCTTCCTGACTCCCTTTCCATGCCACACAGGGAAAGGAGAAAGGCTGACAGAGGAAGAGAGACAGAGGATGGAGGAGTTTGCCGAGAAGAAGGGTATCCCGATGTCCAGCATTCAGTATGTCCAGGAAACAGGTGAGTCCTGATGCTCTTCCTTCCAGCCGGCCACATACATATCACCACACAAACTCACTCCCCCGACATCCTTGCCCAAGATCGTCTCTGCACACAATCATGTGTTGCTTGCCTGGCAAGGAATCCGCTTGGTGGGATTGCACATCTCCCTTGATCCTGTTTCCTTTTCTTCCTTGCTTTTTTTCACAGATGATTGTCCTGAGAAGTAAAGACCTGCCTGGGTGAGTACACCCACACCCACCACACACACACACACACACACACACACACAATCCTGGGAAGTGAATCTGCCTTTAGCAGTTCATTTCTCATGTCCTACTTCTATGTCTTTCCTCTTTCCCATTTGCGATCTCCGCCATGAGGGCATTCCCAGGGTCTCAGGTTCGGGTCCCTCCTCTCTGCTCCGTCCTCACAGGTGATAACATGTTGATGAGGGCACCTGCCTCCATCTTCCCCATTCCAGCAGAATCGACTCTGGGAAGATGAGCCGTCCTCACGCGTCACCCATGTTTTCCTCTATCCTGCTACATCGGCATCCTGACTCATGCCTTTCCCACTTCTTCTCCCCTTCTCCTGAAATCTGTGCTGCCAATCCATCACTGAGTGGTTCAATAAACGTTTCCCAAGCATGTCCTTCTGACTTGGATGATCCACTCAATGGGGCTTTTCCCAGAAACAGCCACTCCAAAGGAGTGATTGAAAACCAAGTCTCTACTAGAACCATCGATTCTGTTTCTGTTATTCAGAATAACGCCAGCCTCATGCCTGCCCCGCTACCTGCTCAGCATGCTAAGATCTAAGTCTCATGGGTTGAAATCAGCCCAGGGCAGAAAAATCTGGGAGACTTCCTATCTCTAGTTAATCACCCCCAAACCCAGAAGCAGTGGTGTGGCTTGCCAGATTGAGTGCTAGCCTTGAACACAGAACCCAAAGGAGGATGCCCAGGTCCTGAGGACAAGCTCAGGGCCAGAAAACAGCAATGACAGAGTCCCTGAGCATTTAGCATTAGGAAAGGACACATCATCTTCAAGAGTGGGAGGATCCATGAAGAAGTTCTATCATGTTCCCGAAGATCCCACCAGAAATGCAAGGATTCAGCGCTCAAAGTCGGCTTCTCTTGGTTCTGCCTTCCCTGGGACTGGATTCAGGGAATCTGTCAAACACACAAAGAAAACTGTCTTTGGGACTTGAACACATGTCATCTCAGGCTAGGGGTTGGCTTTAGGCAGTGGAAAGTGCATGGACCCCATTGTGGGAAAGAGCATGCCTAAAATGCCAGGCCCGTTCTTGTCGCCATGTGGGGAATCCTGGAGGGGGAGTTGGAGAGGAGAAACCCTGGGTAGTGTGGTTTGCCCACCTGGGCCTGGTACATACATGCCCTGGATGCTGAGAGTCTCACCTTCTGCGGACATGCAGTAGCAGATGGGCACTGTCTCTCCCTGTTCTCAGCTCTAGGATTTCTGGCTGTATCCTGAGTTGCTGAGATTGAGAACCCCATTTCCTCCTGATTTCTACTTATCAAACCCCTCCATGCAATATGCCCTTGGTTTCATATTCTACAATCCCCTTAAGATGACACCAACCCATCAGAACCTATGAAGGCAGAGGTTGGGCTTAGACCTGAACCAGACCCATGGGTTTATTGGTTCTTTAGCCCAAGATGGGATTAGAATATTAATAATTAATTCATGTGGGAGTTGGGACAAATTACAGCCACGCCTTTACACATGCATCATACAGGAATCTCCTGATGTGACCTAGGCCACCCTCTCTTCCTAGGGTCCCCCTTGAATGAGCCGGTATTCAACACACGTCCCCAAGAGCATTGTTGTAGTCGACACAGTGGTAGAGTGTTGAACTCTGATTGCAGGGGTGGCACAAGAAGACCAGAGCCGGTGATGGCAGGGTTGGAGGAAGGAAAGCTCCACCAGGTCCAGGCGGAAGAGAGTTGATTTAGAAGAACCAAGCGAATAGCCTGGCCAGATGGAAGGGTGCGGAGGTGTGGAGAGTGAGCACATGGCAGACAGAGAGGATGTGGGGGATATCAGGCTGGAGGTATGGGTACAGGGGATGCAGAAGTGAGCACTGGAAATGGGGGACTGGTCACTGTAGGAAGCATGATCAGGCAGAGGAGGAAGTGACCTTAGAGGAAGTGGAAATGGTCTCAGGAGAGGAAGTGACCTCAGAGGATGGGAAGTGGCCTTAGAGCAGAAGTGACCTCAGTGTAAGAGGAAGTGGCCTCAGAGGAAGAGGAAGTGACCTTAGAGTCAGAGGGAGTGGCCTCAGAGGTTATTATGGTTCTATAGTAGAGCTTGAAATCTGGTATCACGATCCCTTCCCCATTGTTTCTTTTGCCTAGAATTGCTTTGGCTCTCCTAGGTCTTTTGTTGTTCCATAGGAATTTGTGGATTGTTTTCTCTATTCAATAAATGATGTCATTGGGATTTTGATGGGAATTGCATTGAATTTGTATATCAGCTTTGGCACTATGGCCATTTTCCTGATAGTAATTCTTCCTATCCAAGCACATGGAAGGTCTTTCCATTTCCTGGTGTCCTCTTTGATTCCTTTCTTTGGGCGTGTATAATTTTTACTAAATAGCTCCTTTATCTCTTTGGTTAGGTTAATTTGTAGATTTTTTTGAGGTTATTGTAAATGGCGTAGTTTCCCTAATTTTCCTTGTACATTGTTGGTGAACAGAAAGGCAGCTGATTTTTGTGGGTTAATTTTGTATCCTGCTACTTTGCTGGTTTGTAAGTTCTAGGAGTTTGGAAGTGGAGTTTTGGGGGTCGTTAAGGTATAATATCATGTCATCTGCAAATAAGGATAGTTCAATTTCTTCCTTTCCTGTGTGGATCCCTGTAATGTCCTTTTCTTACCTTATTGCTTTGGCTAAGGATTCTATATTGAAGAGGGTGGGCATCCTTGCCTTGTTCCTGATTTTAGGAGAATTGGTTGTAGTTTTTCCCCGTTAAGCATATTAGCTATTTGTCATCTATGACTTTTATTGTTTTAAGGAATGTTCCTTCTATTCCTATTCTCAGAGCTTTTAACATGAATGGGTGTCGTTATTTTATCAAAAACACTTTTGGCATCAATAGAGATAATCATGTGTTTCTTGACCTTGGATCTGTTGATGTGATGGATTACATTTATTTGTGTATGTTAAACCATCCCTGCATCTTTGGGATGAAGCCTACTTGATCATAATATATGATGTTTTTGATATGTTTCTGGATTCTGTTGGCTAAAATTTTATTGAGGAGCTCTGCATCTGTGTTCACCAAGATTAGTCTGTAGTTCTCTTTTTTCATTGGATCTTTGCCTGGTTTTGGGATGAGTGTGGCTTCATAGAATGAGTTTGGGATTGCTCCATTTCTATTTCTCATAGAGTCTAAGGAGTATGGGTATTGGTTCCTCTTTAAAGGTCTTACAGAATTCCATAGTGAATACATCTGGGCTGGGGATTTTCCTTATTGGAAGGCTTATGATTGTTTTACTCTATCTTATTGTAAGTTACTGGCTTATTTACTTGATTTATTTCTTCTTGGTTCAGTTTGGGCAATTTGTATTTTCTATAAATTCATCCATTTCTGTTAGGTTTTCCTTCCTTAGTGAGTGTAGACTCTGGAAATAGTTCTTTATGATTGTTTGGATGTCTTGGATGTTTGTTGTAATTTTTCCTGTGGAATTGTGATTCCTGGATCTTATTGATTTGGGTCTCTTTTTGGAGTTAGTCTTGCCTAAGGTCCATCTATTTTATTAATTTTTTCTAAAAATCATCTTTTTGTTTCATTAATTTTATAGTTGTTTTAGTTTCTATCTTGTTAATTTCAGCTCTTATTTTGGTTATCTCACTCTGTCTCGTAACTCTGAGTTCAATTTTTCTTGCTCTTCTAGCAGTTTTAGTTGCCACATTAGATTATTTACTTGGTTTGTCTCTATTTTCTTGATGCGTGCACTGAGAGCAATAAATTTGCCTCTTAGGACTACTTTTGCTGTGTCCCATAGATTTCTTTGTGATGTAAATTTATTTTCATTGTGTTGTAGGAAATTTTTAATATCTTCTTTAATTTCTTCTGTGACCCAGGTGTTGCTCAGAAGTGTGCCATTCAATTTCCATCCATGTATTTGAGTATTTTCTACAGTATGCTTGCTTATTTTGAACTAGCTTGATTCCACTATGGTCATATAGAACACAAGGGATCATGCAGATTCTCTTTGCTTAATTTCTTTGTATGAACTAATATATGATCTATTCTGAACGTTCCATGGGCTTCTGAGAATGTGTACTGAGTTGTTGGGTGGAAACCTCTGTAGATGTCAATTAAGCCCGTTTGAGATATGGTATCATTTAATTGAGGCTTCTTTGCTAATCCTCTGGTGGTAGACCTGTCCTTTGGTGAGAGTGGAGTATTAAAGTTTCCTAGTCTTATTGTATTTGGATTAAATTTTTCCCGTAAGTCTGAGAGTATTGGCTTAATGTATGATGTGGGTGCTCCAATGTTTGGAGAGTATAAACTGATAATGATGGTATCCTCTTCTTGGATTGTCCTCTGTATTAGCATGTAGCGACCTTCTTTGTCTTTTTGTATTGATTTTAATGAAATGTTTGTCAGGGATCAGGATGGCAATTCCTGCTTCTTATTGGGAGCATGGTAGATCTTCCTCCATCCCTTCACTTGGAGTTTGTTTTTATCTTTGGCTGTGAGATGGGTTTCTTGAGGGCAATAAATGGATGGATCTTGTTTTCTGATCCAATCTGCAGTTCTTCTTTTCATTGGTGAATTGACTCCATTAATATTTATGGTTATTATAGAGAGGTGCATTGTGTTTCCTGTCACGTTCCTGCTTTCCTAAGTTTTTCTTACTAAGCTGGTTGCCTGGTGATATCTTTCTGATGTGGATCCCTGATCTTGTTTTCTTCTGATTGTATTCCTTCTCTTAATTTTTTTATGGCAGCATTATTATTTTTTAATTGTGAAAATGCCGTACAGAAGGGTTACAATCACATGGGCAAGGTAATGAGTACATTTCTTATCAAGCATTGTTGCCTCCTTTGTTTCCCCTTCCAATCCCTTCCCATCTTCCCCCCCATCCTGGTCCCCTCTCCCCTCACCACCCCTTAATATTTTTTGTATGTTGGTTTATTGTTTATGAATTCGTTTAGTTTTTCTTTATTAAAATTTTTAGTTTCTCTGTCGAATGTGAATGCTAGCTTTGCTGGATATACCAGTCTGGGTTGGCAGTTATTGGCTCTTAGGGCTTCAATGGTACTTTTCCAGGCTCTCCTTGCATTCAGTGTCTGTCGAGAAAACTGCAGTGATTCTGATTTTCCCCCACTGTATCATAGCTCCTTCTTTGCTTTTGGTGCATGCAAGATTGTTGCTTTGTTACTCAGATCTAATGTTTTTACTATGTTGTGCCTAGAAGTGTTCCTCCTGGGATCCATCTTGTTAAGTGTTCTGAAAACCTCTGTTATGTAGGTAAGATTTTCACTTTTAAGATTGGGGAAATTTTCAGTGATAATTTTATTGAATAAACATTGCATTCCTTTATTCTGGTATTCCTCACCTTCG